CCTCTTTGAATCATCAACTCTAGCAATGCATTTGCTTCTTCCATCCTTCCTCTTTTGCAAAGTCCATCAACCAACGTATTATAAGTGACTATATCAGGCTGTTGACCTCTTCGAATCATCAACTCTAACATTGCATTTGCTTCTTCCATACTGCCTTGTCTGCAAAGCGCATGAATTAATATGTTATAAGTAAACGAATCAGGCAGACAGCCAAGGGCCACCATTTTCCTGAGCATCCCTGCAGCTTCACCAAGCTTATTATTCACACACAACCCCCTAACCAAAGTGTTGAAAGTCACATCATTCGGCCAACAACCAGCCCTCAAAATCCTCCCCAAAACCGCAAAACCATCACGAACCCGAGCCATACTACAACAGCAATCAACCAAGATATTGAAAGTTCTAAAATTAGGTGAAAGTCCAAGGGAAACCCATCTTTTGTAAAACAAAATAACATGGTCATAACGCCTTATCTTAACAAGGGCAGCTAGAATCACATTGAATCCTGCGACTGGAGGAGATGGCTGCATCCGAATCATTAAATCAAAGAAGTGGGTGGCTTCATCTAGAGTAATGTCACCTGACTTGCATCTTATCTTGAGAAATTGATCGAGGGAATCTTGGGGTTGAGAAGAGGATTTGGGATTCGGAGGAGGGGTACCCCGTCTATCTAGATATGCTGCTAAAGTGAACAGCTTTAGTGAAGAAGGAAACGGACGTGGTAAAGTCGACAGCTTTGAGGCAAGTGGTGAAGCGGGAAACGGCAATGCAGTGGTAAAAGCAGTTGAAGAAGGAGGGAGCACGAGCATCATCTTCTAGCTATTTCGGAAGATGGGAGGTGAAGAGTGTCGCCGGCGTTGAAAATTAGAGAAGGTCAGGAAAGATGGAATGAAACCAGAATTGCTCATCCACCAAGGAAAAGAACTTGGCCAAAATCTAATTGCGAAGCAAAGAAGTTCAAATGGAAATGAGTACTTACAGTTTTAAGGCCTAAGATTGCAGAATATTAGCTTGCTGGAGGAGAAGAAAGTGGGGATTGGTCTATGGTTTAGGGTTTCAGAGGGGAAAATTTAGGACCGGAGATGCCGGTTGATTGTTGGGCCGTTCGCTCCTTGCCACTGCTTTTGCTTGCATGGCTCCACCCTTGGCCACTCATTCCCTCCATTCTTGGCCACTCATTCCCTCCATTCTTTATACCAGCAACCGTTGGCCATATATCTTATGTAACTTAATATGAGAAAAGTGGGTATTATTTTATATTGTAAAAAATTAAGTAAAAAAATATTAAAATTATATTGTTTTAATAAAATTTTATTAAAAATATTAAAATATCTTAATTATTTCTAAAGTAGGAATGATGTTATTTTAATTTTTTTAGTGTTTTATTAAAATAACATAATTTTTAAATATTTTTTACCGAATCTTTTATAAATCAAATTGATAAACATTAATTTCACCTAATATTTACCCAAGAAAAGTATTTTATAGTTAAAATCTATATTATAGGTGTAGTAATTTAATCACT